CCCCAAAACCCCAAAACCCCAAAACCCCTCTTTAAAATCCTATAATTGTGCATAAAAATATTTTAATTTTTGAAAATGAGCGAAATTGTTACAGTCAATATAGGCTCAGCAGGGGTTAATATAGCCAAGGACTTATGGCACCAGATCCTTAGTGAGCACCAAGCTAGTCCTAGTGTTGTGAAGGAGTAGTAGGTGTTATGAAGTAGATGGGCTATAGTAAGAGTCAGGAGGGAGTACTCCCTGCAACGATGTTTTGTGAAGGAGAGAGTGGGGAATATCAGCCCAGAGGAGTTGTAGTAGATCATGACCCATTTCCAATTAATCGGTTTCTCAAATCTCCTGTTGGGAGAGGGTTTAGAGGGACTAATCAGGTCGTCTCAGGCCTTTGTGATTGAAATGATAAGTTTGGCAATGGATATGGAGGAAGTCCTGAAAGTCCACAGGTTTTTGAAAATACAGTTGATGGGATTAGGCACCAGCTTGAAAAATGAGATAACCCAGACTCAATCGTGTTTATACAGAGTACTGTGGGAGGTACTGGGTCAGGTCTTTCATCTAAACTTTTGATTTCTGAAATAGATGATGATAATAAAATCAATAATGTTTGAGTGTCTCTTTTACCATCTCCTAACTTTTCAGTAAACCATATAGAGCATTATAACACTTGTCTCTGGCTTCATTTTTATGGGAATTTTGCTAATATGGGAATAATGGTTGACAATCAGGCTTGCTTTCGATATGCAAAGGAATTTTTGGGTATGAAGAAATGATCATATTTTGACGTTAACAAAATAATTGCAAAGCTGTACTCGGATTTAACCTGAAGCTTCAGATTCGAGAGTAATATGAAGTTATCGCTCTCTGATTTTGCAAACGAATTGGTACCAAACAAACCATTGTCCTCTCTTTATGCCTCTATTGTTCCTGTAAATGAACACTTCAGCAACATGGATCCTCAATTTCCACCTTCTGCGAATAACATTTCTGAAAAATAAGAAGAATTTGGACTTTTTGAACGAAATAGGATCCCCAAAATCCGAAGATTTTAAGGAAGAGTTCAAAGATACTTCCGTATTTGACTCTGAATATCTCGACGTGAAATCAGCCTATAACAGCCGGAATCAGTTGTTATGAATAGAGCCAATCGAAAAGTACAACATCGGGTCTGCCTGAATCCTTCGTGGATCCTCAAATGATCTTGAATCGGTCAATCATAGTCTTAAAAACCTTCTTCTTGATCCATCAGGGAGGGAAGAAGAGCATTTGAACTATCTGATGGAGAAACTGATGAAAGATGCTCAGAAGAGGAAGCGAAGGATGAAGAAAGATTTCCATTATGATGTCAATAACTCCAAGGAGGATATTTACAAGTTCAAGTCCTCTGAGATCATGTCTTTACAAGTAAAGGAAAACTATGAGCCAGAGTAAGACCTCCTTTCACAAATTTAGGGATCATTTATTTACCATTTCGAACAACGGAGCTATTTCTAGCGTTCTCTCAATGGTAGAATTTAGGTTTAATAAGATGTTTATTAGGAGACAATTCGTCCCAAATTTTACTGACTCTAAGATCTCAGAGATGGAAATGGTGGAAGCTCGAGAAACTGTCGAGATGATGATAGAGGAATATAATAAGCTTACTGACCTGACTAGTGAGATTATCGAATAAAATTATCATATCTTCAATTAATCCAACTAAAGTAGGGGTTTTGGGGTTTTGGGGTTTTGGGG